AAGCCCATATAAAGTTCAAGGTATATCCGACAACTAAATGGAAAATTATCTATAACAAATGAGGCAATAGGTGGCACGCAAATGCTGAATATTTTATTTCCGTTGCTATTCAGAAAAAATTAATCATCCTAATGTGAAATTAATTAGGAAAAGTCGTCACTAGTTATAGATATGCAGGACTTTTAAACGCTCCTCGTGTGCTCCTGGGGATGAAATATTAATTCTAAATGGGGGTCGAGAAAATAAATAATGACCCACTTAAAGCATTGCACAAGACGCCATTATTTACTCTAATCGCATTGCAGCACCCGTGAAATAAAAACCATTTTCATGGGGAGTTTCCTGATTTTAACATTCTTGGCTCTCAAAAGTAGGTACTTCAAATCTATAATCAACTAGTGAAAATTGAGAGTTCAAATTTTCATTCAAAGCTCGAAACTAACCAGACAAGAATAAGCAAATTGCTGTATTTCTGTGCCATCGCATGTTGAAAAAACCGCAGGCAAGTGACAAATTAGAAAATCTCCATAAATTAGTTAAGCAAATTTCGGACAAAATCACAGAAGTGGTTTTATCTAGACAGCTGTTTTTTACCGGTTACATTTCAACCAAATAAACACGCATCTAACACATTCGACTTAATTAAAAAAGGCATAAATTCGGTATATCGGCCGAAAGCAAAGACAAAAACGGCCCCTAAACCAAATGAGTCACGCGATACGTTAATATTTTATGGGGAATCTACTGTTCGATAAACAATTCCTTTTGGCAGCTTTATGGCTATAAATACATCAGAAATTGAGACATTTCCCGACTTCAAAAACCCGTTGTGTTCTGTTAGAATTAGACTATAGAGAACCAACAACAGACCAACAAAATCACCTGTAGAAGACAATTTTCGGCAACACTAAAATAAAAATATCCAACTAATGGTTCAATGAAAATTCTACATCCGTTTGCTTGCTTAAGGGCAAAACACATTCTGCAAATTGAGGCTAACCAGTTTTTAAACTACACCTAAACTACGTAGTTATCAGAAGTTATTTAAAATCGGGCCTGCGGAATGTTCCAGCAAACATCAACCAGCGATAATCTGAATCCAAACACGCAATTCATGAATATTTTATTTGAATAATCCCCCAACTTACGCCAAAGGTGTCAGCCAATAACAATGCCTAGATATATCACTTTAGCTGAAAGGATTACACACACTAAAGAATAGGTGATTTATAAAGGCCAGTTTGATTTCAAACGTAATCTTAATCGGTTCGTTTAATGGAAAACTGCATGAAGCGCCAGTTTCAACAGAAGCAAGAAAGCGACGCAAATCGGAGCTCGATGTGACGAAGAATTTGTGATTTATACACAACAGAAAACAGAAAAATGTTGGATATTGTCCAAACCCCAATATTTGAGCCAACGTGCCCAAATAAGAAAATTTCCCAAGGAAATAAGCAATAGAAAAAGTGGCAAATTCAGTTCCAAACGCCACGCTAATTAGGCAAATTTTATTAATGCATCGCACACTTTCTCAACTGAACAAAAAATCCCCACATTATACAAAACCAAGTGTTAATTAAAGTTGCAAACTCGAAAAGGTCAAGCGTACGGTATGGCGGGTTCATAGTAGAAATTTCCCAAACTTTTAATTAATTACGAGTGACAAAATAAGTGAGCTCCGTCCCCGATATCGAAAGTTTGAAGTCGGTTTGCGGAATTTCTCCGAAAATGTGATAAATTGAATTTTGATTATGACAACCCCCGTCCGCTTGGCATGTGTGGGGCGAAAGGTTTACGGTCCTGTTCGATGGTGTCCACTTAATTATCACGTCATTATATTCCTTAATTATTCCGGCTAAATATACGTAAATTCAATGGATCTATTGAACATTTCTGGCACACATTTTCACAGAAAGCCAATTTCTAGATGGGTGGAAGAAGGCCAACGCGTAAACCGCGAGCTCATGAAAGAGAGCAAAAATACTGGAAGGGGCGGGGCTTAATCGAGACCTACATATATGAGTGAAAGAAGAGCGAATTAAAGGCGAGGTGAAAAAAGACAGAGAACACATGGAATGCAATTGCCAAAGGCGGGGCTAAAACGCGAAATTTCTATGACTGCAAGAAGGCCAACAAGTAAACAGCGCGCGAAAGAAAAGGATAGATACCCAAGGCAGTAAAATAAAATATGGCTTAATGGCAATCGCATAAATAGTCCAGTCAGTCCAGGGTTCCATCTCTCTTTTGCGCGCCATTTACACGCAGGCTTTCTTGCACTCATGTAGATCGCCCGCTTTAGCTCCGCCTCCAGCAATCACATCTCGTGCGTTCTCTCTTTCCTTACCGCGCCTTTTATTCGCTGTCCTTTTTTCGCTCATATGAATTACGCATTTTACTCCCGCCTTCAGCATCCAATGTGTTCTCTTTCTATCTGGATTTTGCCTTTCAGACGACTTAGGTGCACATTTTTTTTGTTAGTACTGTAAAAAATAGTTCATAAAAACCAAATTTTGAAAACGCCAACAAATAAAAACAGAATTGTATTCATTTTCCTCAATTCCACTCCAGCCTATAAAATCAATAATCCATTTGTAGATTTTTTTGGGTGGTGGAAGAAACAATAAAACCCCGCTTAAACTAAATTATTCGCTCAGTAATTTACTTTTGCACATTTGCATTTCGCAGTCATTTTATTCGATCGCTTCGCCGGCAGGAGGAATGGCAAAAGAAGACTGAAAAGTAAAACCTCTAAGTGGATATCGATTAAACATTTGACTAAAATTGGTTTGCCGCGAAATATATGGGCTCCAATTTAAACTCGGAAACCCAAAGATAATGAAGCGGTAAAATAGAATGTATTAATCTAAGGATGGATTTAATAGGTAACACGTGCCGGAAAAGCTTGTGCTAAATCACTGGGGCGTACATAAGTGTATACGGCACATAATATGAGGATTTTACTACACAGTTGCAATTATTCACGAAAAATTCTTTGCAGCCGCGTTGGGAGCATCTGAAATGGGCCAGATGTTTGGTTTTGCTTAATAAATCAACTATAAGCTCGTAATGGTGTAATTCGCTTGCACCAAACATGGCGTTAATTCCGCAACATTTGGAATGTTGCCCGAGTAAAACCGCATTACATTTTCAAAATGTGCCAACTTGCTAAGTGGAGTATTAGTTCATTATTCTTAAGCTCGATGGTTCGATTGATACTGAAATCACGCAGAATCTTAACTGGGTCTCTCCTCACTGTTCGAAAAAGTTGCGTTTCAAGCTCTTCTAGTTTCCGGATTCTGGATCGAGGCAAACAACTCGGGTTGAAATCGTGATTCGTATTCTTCGTATTGATTCTTCCGAACGGTTGAGGAAAAAAATTGCGCTTGTATTTCTTCCGGACCGAGGCACCAAAACTGAGCCTAAAATTTTGAAATATTCTCAAACGCTTCTCAGTATTCTGACTGAAACAAAACTCACTGTTGAGGCAATTTAAATCGTGCTTCTATCTCTTCCAGTTTGGTACAGACGAACATTCAAGTCCGGTCTGATGCAACGAAAGGTTACTTAAAATTTTGAAAATTCCTCCACAACCTCTTTACAGCTCGATCGAAACTAGTCGATGATGTTAACAAGACTCTTCCTAATGCTGATGGAAAAAATCGTGCGTTTATAGTTTCTATTGCGGAGCGACAATATTTTCAATTCCGGTATGAGTCGCAAAAAAATCGGCTTTAAACTTTGAAAACTCCTCAGAAGACTGTTAGTTGATCAAAATTGAATCTCGTCCAGAATTTTAATATGGCTGTTGCTAATATTCATGGAAACAATCGAGCTTCTGTCCTGTCTAGATGGGGAGCAGTCGATTTTTGAACTCACRACTGAGGAACAGAAACTTGACTTGAAACTTTGAAAACTTCTCAAAATCTCCTGATTGACCCAATTGCAAGCAAACTCACCGATCACCTTATCGTCTTCTCTCGCAATTWWTGCCAATTTTTTTTTTAATTCCCCAGTCCCCAAAGCAGTAAAGAAACGTGGCAAATCAGCTGGACAAGCCAGTCTAATATCGTCCAATAATCCTAGCCAATAATTCGGTTTTCGCCTCCCATCTGCAGTGTTAATTCGCAGCATTCTGATCATAATCCCGAACCGAGACCGCGCAAACTTACATTACATATTCAATAGGGGCCAAGTTACTAAACCCAATCTTAGTTTATTAAACCGCTGTTGGCACAAGTGGCGAAAAGCTACTGGGCCAATTAACGGATTCTGTCGCTTTTTAGCATTCGCTTCGATCATCCGACTTTGTCTGCATGGTTATATTAGGAATTCCGAGCCAACAGCTGGC